TTTTTTTTTTTTTTTGTGAACGTACAACGTAAGACGGGAACAGGGAAGCGCTAAAAAAATGAGCAAAATCTGTTAAGCAGTTAAAATTTGATAGAAACTTCTAGGTTACCTAATAAAAAAACAAAATTAGTTATACATTTTTTCTACCACGGCTAGCTAAAGGGAACTTGTTGCCATTTTTAATGAAACGGACAAATTGACTTGTGCAAAAATTGCGCCACTTGTTGACACTTTAAAATTATATTAGCATAAAACCCCGTAAATCGACGTAAAACTAAAAAAATTACTACAAAAAATTTGATTTAGTCAAACCATTTCATAATATGTGACTGATGCAAATTGTAGCAAATTTTATATGAGTTCTTATTCAGTTGTCTCAAAATATCAGTGAAAACAATGGAAAACTGGTTGTTGTAAGCATCAAATTTTTATGTCATCAAATTTTCGCATTCAGTTATACTTCCGATTTATACTTCCGATAAACTTTGTTTCATCTAAGAGCTGCTTAGCATATATCAAAAAAAAAAAAAGTTGCTTTGCAGCTTTCTTTTATGGTTTTATGTTTTATTTAACCTACAGCAGAAAAAAAAAATTGCATCTGAAGTATAGTTAGATGAGTGCAAAGGGATTGCTGATCACTTCTTACATGCAGTTGCTGTACATTTACAACTTTACTTGTATTTTTATTAGCATTGAAAAAATAGTTTTTTTTTTTTTTTGTTTTACTGAAATTGACGTATTAATTTACAAAATTTTTGAATACAATATCGGAAGTTGCAGTTTATTTTAAAAACATTATTTGTCGCTGATACAGTTCAATTGTTGAGAACAGACAGATAGATTGATGGAAAGATAGATGGATTACTTGTTATCCAAACTGAAACTAGGCACATTTCGGTCTTGTTTCTTAGATATTGGGTTCCTGTTTATCAAAAAAAAAAAAACCAAGATACTTTGCTACCTTTGATATTTGAACCACCTGTATTAAAAAAAACATATGTATTACAAAAAAAAAAAAAAAAAAACTCAAAGAAAAATCAGAGGTT